CCAATAACACATAAGTCAATTGTGCTCGCTTGCATCAATGATCTCTTAGAGCAACACAAACAACATAGAGGCATTAATCACAGACACCCAAAATGAATAAAAATGCTAAATCTATCTCTAGAATTCAGACACTACTAGATAATCATCCTAGATAAGAATCTAAGCAGCATATGTCTATAGCAGCTTAAATCCCTAGCACATAGCAAAAATCAAGGATAACAATCGACAAAGATTTGTAAATCAAGTTTTATATAACGCCAAGGGAGACAAATATACATGAGTTTAAAGTAAATATATATACAAACCCAACCAAAAGAGAATACACAAAGAAAAATAGAAATGAACCGCAAATCTACCGGTTTGTCAGCATCGATCGAAGAGCAATCCACCCCAGATCATCCGTATGAAAGATCCATAGTTATTATCTAAGCTAATCTTAACAAAATTGAAGGTTGATGGAGTTGGGAGCAAAAACTTCCCCAAAACTATAACCTAAAAATGAACTAAATTTTTTGTTATAAAAAAAATCTCAACATACCGCACTTAGAGGGCTCACTGTGCTTAGCGGGCTGCGCGATATTTACACACTAAACCAACCTAAATCGTGCTAAGAACGATATCCGCACTAAGCGGCTTTCAAAAGAATGCTTCTACAAAAATGTCCAAAACACAAGAAGCGCGCTACAAAATGCACTGAGCGCACTCGCGCTTAGCGGCCTTATCCGTGCTAAGCGGGCTCCGCAGGACAGAACTTCCCAAAGCTGGTCTTTTATTCTGAAAACGCGTATCTAGAGCCGTGCCTTCAACACCTTATACTCGATGCTCCAAAATGCAACAAATGCCTACAAAATGAATGTAAAAACATCAAACGGTACACTGTGTACAAAAAACACAAATAAACACAAACTAAATGTATTTACACAAAAGTCAGGTTTATTCAATTGATATTAATAACAAAGAGTCGATAAGTGCAACAAAAAGCATATACAAAAATAACTACAATTTGCACTTATCAAACTCTCCCAAACTTGAATTTATTTGTACTCAAACAAGGCCAAACAACTCAAAGAACCAAAAGTAATCAACCAAAGAATCATAATTCAACAAGTTTGAAAAACGAAAACAAATGTATGGTTCAAACAACAACGTACACGCAAGGTACTTACCACAATCCTACAATGACAATATGTAAACGAAATGAATCCTAAGTACAAAAATCATACTAAACATTCTAAAACAAAACAAGCTCAATCATGAATCACACCTAGTTAAAATTCATTGGTAGATGAAGAACACACAAAGATGAGTGACAAAAAACACTCATCCACAATCTTGAAAACAATAGACTAAATTATGCTTTCATCATATTGAAGATACAAAGGCAAGAATCACAAGGACTTTTTAAGGTTGTAATGTGGCTTGGTTAACAAACAAGGGATAAGTCCTAAGGCTAATCGAAACAAAAACTTGCCTTAACCTAAGGAAGTGATCAACTCACATTGACTCAAGCAAAATAATTTCAATCAAACTTATTCTTGATTCCAAATTTCTTAAACCAACACACATCACTTATTATCACAACATTATTCGAACTCTTTTTGTTTTTATTATTCAAAACATTTTCAATTTTTTTCTTTATTTTTATTTCTTTCTTTTTCACTTTTTTTTCTTTCTTTTTTTCTCAACCTCATAGTAATAAACACAAGCACATAAATATTTCTCTCCCCTACTTGAATTTAACCATATCATAATGTGAATACTCCCTACTTTCTAAGGTAAGGTAAAATTAAAACTACAAATCATAGTTAAGGGTTCAAGAAAACAAAGAATCAATATCCATACAAAAAGATGAACCAAACACTCATTGACAAGCATTTAGCAAAAACAACACGGATGTCGACAAAAAGGGTCAAAAGGGGATACTAATGATCACACACTCACAATGTGAATTGACTATTTGGCCAAGGTAGTTGTGCTCAAAATGATACAAAAAATGCATTGATCATGTTCATACTTTCATACAATCAAAACAAACAACAGATTAAACATAATAAAATCCAGTTAAAACAAGATTTATGGCCTCCAGCATATGCAAACAATGGAAAGCTTCCTAATATTTATAGGTAAAAAGGAACTAAAGTGATTCAAGTCGTGATCAAGGAATGCAAAAAATGACATGAAATTGTACAAATGAAAATTTTCCTAAACATGTTATGTTATAGAAAACGATAAACGAGTACCTGGCGAGTACCAACTTCAAAAACTATCATTACCATGCATCTGCAAGTTGACACACTCAAAATCGAAAAATCACCAAAAGGGGCCTCAAGATATCTAACCAAAACTTGAGTCCAAACAACAAAAGAAAGAATTAAAAATATTACTATTAATTACTATACTAAAAAGCCTTGGGTGAAGTGGGAAAAAGGAGAGCCAAGCGAAAAATTAAAAAGAATTCACTCGCTCTGCACAACAAGGCACACTAAGCAGCATAGAGCGCGTTAAGCGCGCTACACCAATTGCAGAAAAATAGGACAGAAACAGCAGTACAACAGTACAGCAGCACCCTCTACAGTCACCTACACAATCTCAACTACACACAATATTTACAACATACAAACTTCCTCAAGCTAAACACGACAAGCTTGTAGAAAAAAATTGACATAAAAAAACTAACGGGTTAAAGTGAATTAAATAAGTTAAAAAGTGAAAATTTGAGAATTTAAAACAAGTCCAATTTCAACTTGTTAAAATACAAGTCAACACATACATAAACGAGTACAAATAAAACATGCTTGTTTTGCGTCCTAAGCTCGATGCCTTTATTGTGCAAGCTAGTAACCTCTTCCCTTCGTGTCATGGTATTGTCACACCGTGCAAACCTAAAGAAAATTTCCTAACAACCACACAAGAAATGTTACAAAAACGAAAAAATTCAAAACAATACGTGAAAACAAAGAAAAACATATATATATATATATATATATATATATATATATATATATATATATATATATATATATATATATATATATATATATATATATATATATATATATATATATATATATATATATATATATATATATATATATATATATACACAAGTATGGAAAGTAAACACAAAACATGTACAAGTAAAAATAGACAAGTTTATGTACACATTCTATACAACATATATATTAATTACAAAACTCAAAAATAAAGAAACTTATTGCAATGCGAAATAATAAACACCAATCCCCGACAACGGCGCCATTTTGTTGTGGCAGTAAAGAGGCAAGAAAAAAGTAATGTATTATTTTTAACGGGTGATATAGGTTATACCGTATCGTGTCCACAGAGATTGATGAATTGAAATATCGTTCGACAAATCTCTTGTTAACGAGTTTAGGGATAAATGGGTTGAAAGGAAAAGTATCAACAGAAAATAAATCTATAAAAAGGAAAAAGAAATAACTTATCAAGCATGCATATATACTACTTCTCACAGGCTTAAACATATTGACTTGTTATACTAAACCTACAATATTCATCAATTTCATCACGTGTCACTCACAACCTAAGTTATTTCTAACCCAAATTGAGAGGCTGACTGCATCACCTCAGTAGCGATCTCTTAACCACCTCAACAACGCAGAAGTCAATTATGCTCGCTTGTGTCGATGATCTCTCAGAGTGATACAAGCAACACAGAGGCATTAATCACAGATACCCAAAGTGAAACAATTCTAAATCTATCTCTAGAATTCAGAAACTATTAGATAATCATCCTAGATAAGAATCTAAGTAGTATATGTCTATAGCAGCTCAAATTCCTAACACAGAGCAAAAAACAAGGATAACAATCGATAAAGATTTGTAAAGCAAGTTTTATATAACGTCAAGGGCGACAAATATACATGAGTTCAAAGTAAATACATATAAAAATCCAACCAAAAGAGAATACACAAAGAAAAAGAGAAATGAATCGCAAATTTACCAGTTTGTCAGTACCGATCGAAGAGCAATCCACCCCGGATCATCCCTATGCAAGCTCCATAGTTGTTATCTAAGTTAATCCTAACAAAATTGAAGGTTGATGGAGTTGGGAGCAAAAACTTCCCCAAAACCATAACCTAAAAATAAACTAAATCTTTTGTCAAAAAACAAATCTCAACAGACCGCGCTTAGCAGGCTCACCGCACTAAGCGGGTTGCGCGATATTTAAACACTAAACCGACCTAAACTGCACAAAGCGCGATATCTGCGCTAAGCGGCTTTCAAAATAATGCTTCTGCCAAAATGTCCAAAACACAAGTCGCGCGCTACAAAATGCACTGAGTGCACTCGCGCTTAGTAGCCTTCTGCGCATTAAGCGGGCTCTCCAAGATAGAACTTCCCAAAATTGGTCTTTTATTATGAAAATGCGCATCCAGAGCCATGCCTTTGACACCTTATTCCTCGATGCTCCAAAATGCAACAAATACCTACAAAATAAATGGAAAAACATCAAACGGTACACTATGTACACAAAAACACAAATAAACACAAACTAAATGTGTTTACACAAAAGTCGGGTTTATTCAACCGATATTAACAACAAAGAGTCGATATGTGCAACAAAAAGTATATACAAAAATAACTACAATTTGCACTTATCAGTTAACCATTAAACCAATTTTGTTTATGTGATTTATTTGAAACAACTTTAATGTATCTTATATATTTTTCAGCACCCCCAAGAAAATTTCTCAAGATCCGCCACTGGTTGTGGGCGGTCTTATGTGTGTCGATTGCATCTGCAGCAAGTGCAGGAACACCATTAAAAATCATTTTTAGGGTTTCATAAAAGGCAAACAGAGATTGAATCTACTTTCTCCATCAAATCCAATTCTTACCGTCAAGAGTTGGAAGAGAATTTAGAATGCCGTTAGTAACATTCATCTTCACAATGATTGATTGACAACAATATATTTTAGAATTATTTTTGTTTTAAAAAAAAAGTATTTGAAAAAAAAATGTTGTTGAATGAGAAGTACACGACTAAAGTGATATATAAAGCTTTCTTTAGTCAGCAAAAGGATGTTCCTTGGAAATGTGCGGTGTATAGGAATGCAGCTAGGAGAAAGGCAATCCATACTTTGTGGATGTCTTGCCACAAAAAGTTTCCCACAAAAGAAAGGCTCCATAAATTTGGCATGATTAGTAATAATGATTGTTGTCTTTGCAGGAAAGTTGAAACTGTTGATCATCTTTTGTTTGATTGCCCTGCTACTAGAATTATTTGGGAGACAATTCTTAAGTGGATTGAAATTGATCACATTCTGAAGAGTTGGTCTGAGAAGCTTGATTGGCTCATAGCGATTTTGCAAAAAGAAGAGTTGAAAAGCTATAATCATTTAATGTGCTTTGACAAAAACAGTGTATGAAGTGTGGAGGTAATGGAATCAGATGTGTTTTGGGGGTGTAAGTTGCCAACAAACTACTATAAATAGTATCATTTATGTCATAGTTTATAAGTGTTGAGATAAACTTAAGTTTAGGATGCATATTAGAAGACTTCTTATGCCTTAGGTCTTGTTTTTTTTTACTGTTATTTGTGACTGTTGTTAATTAGATCCTAGTGATCAGTTGTTCTTAGAATATTTTTGATTCAATAAAATATTCTTCATTTAAAATAAAAAAATAAAATAAAAGTTATGAGAAAAATATGAAGTTGTAGTTGTTGTGAGCAATGTTACAATTGAGATTTTCTTCGAAAACTTGTTAAAAAAGGATTTGGAAGTTTTCTAAAATTTAAGATTGAATATTATTGGTAGAAAAATTGTAAAGTTCTAGGATTCTTTGTTTACCCACTTTTCAAAAATTTGGAAATTAATTTGCCAAACAAAATTAGAAAAAATAGAAAATGGAAAAAGCTGTCATCAAAATCCACTTCTTCTTTCAGTGTTTAAGATGTGAGATGCAGCGCGTATATAATTATATACACAATGTTTTCGAAAATGATGATAATGATATACACAATGTTTTCGAAAAAGAGAAAAAAGTGAGACGCAATATTGTTGAGAAAGGAAAAGAGAAATGTGATTTTTATTGTTTTTTAATTATAAATACTTTTTTTAAATTTTAAATTCCAGCCACTGAAAATGATAATGACCATGTATAAAATACGCGTTTCATTTACAAAATAATATAAATTCTATTTAATATGTTTATGTCTAAAACCTGATAAAATAATTAAATTTTACTATATTATTATTTATTAATATTTAAGATATTAATATTTATGAATCTAAATATTAAATACTAAGAAGGAAAAAAAAGGAAAAATATATATTTTTTTACTTTGTTTGATATATTTATGCTTAAATAAAATATTATAACCTTTATTATAATATTTTTTTATTAATATATAAAATATTAATAGTTATAAATTAAAATGTTAAATAGAGACTATTGTTTTAAAAATCAAACGGTAGATCAAACGGATGAAACTTATGGTTTAAGGTTCAATTTGTTCATTCAGTTAAATATATGATTGAACCATTTACTCCTTGAAAATAACTAATAATTTGAAATTAAATTTCATAGATATGTCACACATAATTATATGTTCACAACTTAATAAAATAAATATTTTAAATTTTTTTTATAAAATTAATACAACAATATCGATAATACATATAATAACGCAATATAGTTATACATTTCATTTAAAAATAATTAAATTAATTAAATAATTACAATAAAACAAGTTAAACTAATTTAAATGAAAATTAAAATAATAAAAAATAATAACTAAAATAAATTTCAAATAATTAAGAATGTTAAATTATAATTCGGTTGTGTCGTAACTATGTGTGTCGAAGGGTTTAGAGGTGGATCGAAGTAGGTTGTTCGAAGGAAGCCATTGCTCAGTCGAAGAGCTTGTGGATCGAAGCAAGCTACCCACATATTTGATTTGTTTTAGATTTAGATCTAAAATAAATGTTTTGGACTTTTATAATTTTGGGCTTTGGCTAACCTAAATCTATAAATAGAGTGAGTAACCCATAATTTTATAATTAAGTCAATTAAGTTGTATTCACAGAATTTGCAGTTGCAAGTGAATAACAAAGTTTTTCACAGTTTGTGGACAGAGAGAATCTCTACAGAAACAAATTGTCTTCTTTCGTTTCTTTTCTTTTCTCATAATTCTTTGTTATTGTGTGGTAATATCAATCTTGTTCATCAAGATTGATAGAAATTCATCATAGATATTTGGTAGATTTCCAACATCTGGTATCAGAGCTCGGTTAATCGATTCAAGGAAAGTATCAATCAAGAACGATTGAGGAAGAAAAAGAATTCACGATGGTGAATTATGGGAATGCAAATTATCCAACAACTCTACCAATTCTGAAAGTAGACAACTATGAGAATTATTGCAAACAGATGAAAGTTTTTTTCATGCGTCAAGGTCTTTGGGATCTTGTAAAAGATGGATTCGAAACGATTGGAGAAAACGCTTCGGAAGAAGAAAAGAAGAAACACACGGAAATTGAGAAGCTGAGCTATAAAGCACTATTTATAATTCATCAATGTGTGAGTCCAGAAAATTTTGAAAAAGTGAGTGATTCAGAATCTGCAAAAGAAGCTTGAGATGTTCTTGAGAAGTCTTTTGGTGGTGAAGAAAAGGTGAAAGAAGTGAGGTTACAAACTTACAAGAGAGCGTATGAATTGCTTCAGATGGAAGATAGTGAGAGCATATCTGATTTCTTCACTAGGGTTACAAAACTAGTGAATCAAATCAAAGTATGTGGAGAAATATTAACAACAAGAGTTGTTGTTTCGAAGATCTTGAGATCTTTGGCTCCTAAGTTCGACTACGTGGTGGTGGCTATAGAAGAGGGGAAAGACTTGTCGAAATTAACAAAGGAAGAGCTTCAAGGGACGCTTGAATCTCATGAACAGAGAATGAATGAAAGAGCTGCAGGCAAATCAAAGAGTGATGTGGCTTTGCATGTACATTCAGCAAAAGAAACCAAAGGCAAAGGAAAGTGGTTCGACAGAGGTAGAGGCGGCTACAACAAATCGAATGGTAGAGGAAACCAGAATGAAGGAAACGTGTCGAATCAGAGAAGACCATACCAAGGCAACCAAAGAGGTGGTGTTGCAAATAGAGGAAGAGGTGGTGGTCGAAAACCAGACAAGAGACACATTCAAAGTTACAATTGTCAAAAGTATGGTCACTATTCGAGTGATTGTCCAGAAAAGAAAAAGAATCAAGAAAGTGATGCAAAGTTTGCAAAACATGAAGAAGAAGAGATGATGTTGATGGTCACACAAGAGATGAAGATAGATTCAAGGACCAATGGTACTTGGATTCAGGATGCTCATCACATATGTCTAGAAGGAAAGACTAATTTGTCAACATAAAGCCCTCAATGAAAAATATGGTAAACTTCGCAAATGACAATACCCTAGCAGCTGAAGGTATTGATTATGTTATGATTATGATGAAAGATGGCAAGAGGTCAATAATTTCCAATGTGTTGTACATACCAGACATGAAGAGCAATTTACTCAGTATAGGGCAGTTGGTCAAAAAGAATTATAAAGTGTCGATCGTAGATAAGATGATGAGAGTCATCGATGCAAATGGAAGATTAATCTTGAAGGCTCATATGTCTCAGAATAGAACCTTCAAGATCGAACTAAATGTGATGGAGCATAAGTGCCTTTCGCTACAGCTAGCAGAGATGAGTGGATATGGAATTATCGACTAGGCCATCTCAACTTCAGAGACATCAGATATTTGAAGAGAAGAAATATGGTTTCAGGATTGCTAGAAATCGACATTCCAAATGAGGTATGTGAAGAATGTGTGAAGGCGAAGCAGCACAAGAATAGCTTCAGCAGGGATGCAGGAAACAGGTCGAAGGTTATTCTTGAAGTCATATACTCTGATGTATGTGGACCAATCCAGGTGGATTTTATGGGAGGTAACAAATATTTGTTACATTCATAGATGATTTCAGTCGAAATCTGTGGACTTGCCTGATCAAGAAGAAAAGTGAAGTGATATAGGTATTTGCCAAGTTTAAGTATATGGTCGAAATACAAAGTGGTTAAAAATTCAAAGTTTTGAGAACTGGTGGTGGTGGAGAGTATGTGTCGAAAGACTTCGACATGTTATGTGAAAATGAAGGGATTGTGCATGAGGTGGTGCCACCCTATACTCCACAACATAATGGAGCTGTAAAAAGGAAGAATCGAACCATCATGAATACTGTGAGAAGTATGTTGAAAGGCAAGAATTTACCTAAAGAGTTTTGGGTTGAAGTTGTTTCGACTGCAACATACATTATGAACAGATGTCCTACGAAGAAGCTAGAAGGAATTACTCCTAAAGAATGTTGGTCTGGTGTGAAGTCTATCTTGAGTCATCTGAAGGTATTTGGATCTATTGCACATAGACATGTGCCAGATCAGTTGAGAAGAAAACTTGATGACAAGTCAAGTCAAATGATTCTAGTTGGATATCACTCGATAGAAGATTACAAGTTGTTCGATCCAGTGAACAAGCATATTATGATCAGCAGGGACGTGATCATATATGAACTTAAAGAATAAGATTTGAATGAAAATGTCGAGAATGATTCAGTGGGAATCCTACTTGAAGAACCAGAAACTCAAGTCAAAAGAGAAGTTCAACAAGAGGAACCAGCAGTTATAGATCAACCAAGTACAAGTAGACTTTAAAGAACAAGACGCATGCCTAGAAGATTGCAAGATTGTATGATTACATCAGATGATGTGATAAATAATGAAGGTGAGTTGGTACATTATGATTTCTATTAGATGTAAAACTTGTCAATGCGACTGAAGTATTGAAGGATTCAAAGTGGGTGAAAGTAATGAACGAAGAAGTGAAGTCTATCAAAGACAACAACACTTGGTCACTTGTCAAATTGCCTCAATGCAAGAAGGAAATTGATGTCAAGTGGGTATACAGATTGAAGATGAATCCCAAAGGGGAAGTAACTCGACACAAAGCAAGTCTTGTGGCGAAAGGATTTCTACAGAAAGAAGGAATAGACTTCGATGAAGTTTTTGCACCTGTTGCTAGGATCGAAACAATCAGGTTGGTTGTTGGTCTTGTAGAAATAAACAGATGGAACACATGTCATATGGATGTGAAGTATGTATTCCTGAATGGACCCTTAGACGAGGAAGTTTATGTTAAACATAACGAAGAGAGAAAGGTGTACAAGCTGCATAAAGCCCTGTATGGATTGAAACAAGATCCAAGAGCTTGGAATAAGAAAATTAATAGTTTCCTAAGGGAGAAAGAATTTATGAAGTGCACAACAGAACATGGAGTATATGTAAGAAGAAGCAATAGTGAATTTCTTATACTATTTCTCTATGTCGAATATTTGTTGAT